GAAAAGACAGCAACAGACAGTAAGTGCCGCCTAGGCAAAGAAGCTGAGGAAACGGTGGACCACAAGAAAGCTGCTGCAAGAAGATTACACAGACTGACTACAAGCAATGGCATGACAAAGTAGCAACAAATAGCATTGGAAGTTCTGAAAGAAATATCATTTGCCTCGAGTAAGAACTGGTGGGACCATAAAATAGAGAAAGTAATAGAAAATGAAGAAGTTAAATTGCTCTGGGACTTTAGAATTCAAAAAGAAAGGCACCTGCCACATAACACCCCAAACTTAACAATTGTCGATAAGAAAGACAAAAAAGTCTGGATAGTGGACAAGGCAGTGCCTGTGGACGGAAGAATAGAAGGGAAATAACTGGAGAAGATAATAAAATACAAAGACCTACAAATAGAATTAGAATGTCTGTGGCAAAGGCAAGAAAAGGTAGAACCAATAGTAATAGGCACCTTGGGTGAAATTCCAAAAGAATTGAAGCACCATTTGAACACCGTAAGGATTGTACTACACCATAGCCTACTGCCCAGATATTATCCAGGGGTTCCTACCAAAGTACTAATCAGGTTGCATTTTTCTTAGCTGTCCAAAGTCAACAAAGTTCTGTTATATGCTATGACAGTGATTTGTTTACAAAGATGTAAAGAAGATCATGCAATAGTTTAATACACTTAAGATTTATTTCTTTTGGAATTCAAACTAGAGCAATCTGCATGATCTTTATGGCTTGGGGCCTAGTTATTTAAAGGAGTGCCTGGCTGTTGTGGTTTCTGCCCAAGCTCTATAATTGGACAAAGTTGGCATGTTCCATTAAACAATACCACTTTATATCTTCTCTGTCACAGAAAAATCTCTATTAATCTGGCCCCACCATGGACGCCTTTTAAAACCACCTGAATATTTGGCTGTTCCCCAGCTCTTGAACTAGAGTCAGTGGGGGCCTTGTGTGTTTTATTGCTTTAGAAAGATTGTGCTTCTTTCCAGATGCTTGGGTTTTTGAATTGTATTTTAGGAATTATTTAATTGAGGGGTCCTTGGTGCTTTCTGAACTTGGTTGTTTTCTTGCAGACATTTCTTTACCCAAACTAGGTAACATCATCAGCACTAGTTCTACTAGCATTAGTTCTATGACTAGAACTAATTATGTTACCTAGTTGGATAATAAAACATCTGCAAGAAAACAAGCTCATAGACCACCGAGGACCCTTCATTTCAACAATGAGCTACAAATATTCTCTTTTATTGGTAGTTATTTAATTGCACATAGCCTACATCATTTGGGGCAAATAACATAAAATATGTTCTTCCTTGTCCCATCCTATTACCAAGATTGCTGTACCTTCAAAAGCCAAAGTTCCATGAACCCATGTCTTGTTCCCTAAAACTTTCTTAGCCAAAAGGAAGAGAGGCTTTGCTGCAACTCTGTTATGGTCAGCTGGAGAGCAGGCGCACACATGAGGGAAAAGTGGGGATAGTTGCATGTCACTGTAAAACCATGCAGAAGTTATTGCTATGGTTTGGAAATGAAAGGCACAGCCATATGGAAGAGGGCTTAATTTTCTGTAAAGAAATGTCCTACCTTGCAAAATAAGTTAACTACTGTTTTTTTTCCACAACACTTCAATTTGGTTCGTTGGATACTTATTCTTTGGCTGAGATTGTTTCACTGAAATAAAACTGATCAATTTATTTCAGTTAAACAATGGAATTGAAATTATTTTGGCATTATATAAATAAAATAATAAGAAACCAAGAAAGATGGTGATGGCATTAATTTTGATGACAGCCCATCAGGCTACTACAAAAGGGACTTAGAACAAGTCTAGGTGGCTCAGTAGCTAAAACACTGAGCTTGTTGATCAGAAAGGTCAGCAGTTCGAATCCCTACTGCATGAGCAGGGAGTTGGACTAGATGACCTCCAAGGTCCCTTCCAACTCTATTACTGTTACTTACTTAACAGCAGTTCCCATCTATACATATATAGGTTTACACTTCAGAATTATATTAAAAAAATCTGAAAAGTGAAAATTTTGGTGTGAGATTCTAATTTCACTGTAGGCTTAAAACATGTTAACAAAACATATTTTAAAAGAATTGAATGGAATAAATTTTTCATTATACATTTATCCTTCTTGGCTTAATCCTTCATGATGACTCAAAAATACCTGCATTAAACTTGCACATGCTAATTGTATGTATAAATGAAATGTAGATACAGTTTCTGTGCAATAGAACAGTAAATGGTCAGAATGATGTGTGAGGCTAATGAGCAACTTGAAGCCCCTGCTTCAAGTGGGAAATGTTAGTGAAATTGGCAGCCAGAGCATAATATGCTGGTCTGGAATGCAGATTCTTAAAGCTGAACAAAGAATAAAGGGAGTAATTATTATTGGTTCTTCCCTCCCTCAATGCTAAATATGTAATTCCAAATGAGCTGATCTTATCTGCAACAAACTTTGGTGAATAGTTTAATAGTGACATGTTTTGTTACTGACTTCAAACAAAAGATTGATCAAGTTTGAATGTAATATCAATCAAATGGAACAAAAGAGACAATAATCAAGGAAGAGATAGCAATAGCATTTAGATTTATATGCCGCTTCACAGTGCTTTACAGCCCTTTCTAAGTGGCTTACAGAGTCAGAATATTGCCCCCAACAACCTGGATCCTCATTTTACTGGCCTTGAGCCTGGTGAGATTTGAGCTGCCAAATTGCAGTCAGTAGGCAGTCAGCAAAAGTAGCCTGAAGAATGATTCACAATAAACATCTATTTTTTATTCACTCTACACCACGGCTGTCAAACTCGTGGCCTGCAGGTCAGATGCGTCATGCGCTGGCCATGCCCACACCTGTTTTAGCAAAGGGGGGAAGTCGCAATACATCACATGACGACGACGTGACGACACGAGTTTGACACCCCTGCTCTACACAATCTGTCCTAATGGTTTGCTTTGTTAACAGTGGTATTTAATTCTCTATTTATCTCTTTCTGTTATATTCTACTGGCTAGAATTCTAATTTCCAAAACCCTAAATCATATCATCAAGAGGATAATAAAATAAAGAGGAAAGATTTTTTAAAAATAAGAAATAAAATTATTGGAAATAAATGCTGTATACAATTATAAGAATGGAATGTTTTGCAGCTACTTTTTGTGCTATGTCAATATTTTTCTATGAAAAACAATAAATTATCCTAGTATGGAACCAGCATGTATTTGTCAGTCCCCAATGTTTGCCTCCCTGTGATAAAATTATTTTGGAGGGAAACATTCACTTTATATATAATATATTTGCTTCCTGAAGAGCCCAAAGGCATTCTGTTCCTGTTCTACTGCTATCAGGCCAATAGTTTAAAAAGTCTCACTATACTGTATAGTGAGTGTATACCAATTCTGCTGCTATAGCAGTGGGCAGGGATATTCTGACTAATTGGTAGCAAAAGCAAGAAGAGGAGAAAGGATGCACCTTCTCTCAAGCAAAAAAATTGGTTACCGTTTGCCACCCAGAGTCACTTCTGGGAAAGAGGGCAGCTATATCAATTTAATAAATAAAATTTTAAAAAATGAAGAGATAAAACAGAAAATATGTTATTCCAGGCTCTCTCTCCATTATGGTCCTTATGTCCTGCCAAGGACAACTCTGACACAAAGGAACCATTCATCCATTCTAAATACTTTCTTGTAGCCACTTTAATTCCCTGTCATTCCAATCCCAGAAACTTTATTTCTTTGGCAACCTTTCATTTTGTTTCCCTTGTCTTCTACTCCTTCAGACATTTACTGGTTACCCCCTTTTGCTTAAGAAGTCATACTGTTTCCTGTCAATTCATTGCTGGAGCTCATTTGGGTATCTGTAAAAATGCTAACCCGTTTTTCATTAGGTCAATATTCAAATTACTGAGCCACAGAAATAAAGAAAAAGAACAGGTATGTTAGTAAAATTCTGTTTTTTCTGGAAGCCAGAGAAGAAATGGACATGTCTGAATGGAAGGGTATAGACCACAGCAGCCAATCAGTCGGGAGATAGCCAATCCCTCAGAAGTTACATCTCCAGGCCTTCTTTCTGTGAAGAGATAGCACTACCCTCCAGTCATTTCACCCTGATCACATCCAATACCCTTCCCCAAAATGAAAAGAAAAAGAATCTCAAACATTAGAAACTAATTTGGACATATTATATTTCTCCTAAGATGATCAAGAACCTTCAGTCCAACAGCCAGGTTTTAAGCTATGCGCAATATAATGAAGAATCCTAATAAAATTCATAGTATTCTACTAAAGAATTATGGTAGAAATGTAAGAGGCATTCTGCTTCTTTTATTGCACATGATAAATATACACATTAGAAATCTAACTATAAAAAAGATGGATAAAATGTACTGTATATAGAGCACCAAACAAGGAAGAAAATGTTTAATTAACATAAGGGCCTAAGAATAAAGTTCTAAACATATATATATTGGAGTATATTGGAGTTATACAAACTGACACCAAATCTCATAACTCAATGACTCAAGGTCGTGCTTCATACAAATTTGCTTTATGCAAGCTTTTTAAGGAATGTAACTCTAGCATTAAGCAAGGGAAGTATGTACTTTCCAATAACTAATCTATATTTCAATATTCTCTTATCTATATACCTTTAGTTACTAATGTCTGTCACTGTGCTTGCTGTTAACCTATGGTCTTCCTTAAAACCTGTAGTGACTTGGAATGACTGACAGTCCACATGGAAGTAAGGATATTCTACTGCCCAGTAAGTTTATGGCAAAATTGAGACTCTCCCTTTAGGAATTTCCTGTGGATTAACTGAGTCCATTCTGGCCTTCTGGTATTTAATGCCATATTAGAAACTTTGTTATTTCATATTTCTATTTCCTTTATACTTCTAATATTACTATTCAAGGATATCTTAATTTTAGTTCTGGCCTAGACTGATACAGACTTTGAAAAAAATGCAACCTAAATGTTATGCTTCGCTTTACATCAGGTGCTGATCTTCCTTACAATGGTCAAGTAATAGGAAGTGGTGTTAACAGAAATTCAGCAATTATTGGAGGTAAGGAAGCAGTATATATCTATTTGAACTGACAAATAAGTACATTCAGTTAGTTTAATATAAGTTTCAGTATGAGTACATAGTTACCTAAGATTGATCAAATTATTTTGGAAAATTTTATACCTCTTTGAATGATCATAATATGCGAACATTCCTTTTATAATATTCAAGTATAATCTAATAATTAAGATGCTGGGCTAGAATTAGATAGATTTAAATCCATTATCAATTATGTAAATTTACTTAGCAAATTTACTAAGCCACTATCAGTCACCGTGATGCTAGGGACACTTTCTTCATATAAGGTGCTGATGAACAATTCCTTGTGCTTAAACTGAGAGGTAAAAAATGAAATAACATTTTAATGAACTCATTTTTATTACTAAGTAAAGATATAACAGAATGTTTAACCTCATTCAGCAAAAGAATGTAGTTTCCAAATGGATTAACTTCATGGTTGGTTTTTGATAGCTTGTCTCAAGTTGGAATGTTTCTGCAAAGTAAATTCATCATTAAGCCAATTTCAACCAATAATAAAGTCTCAGATTCAGAATCAGATCCTTATCTTTTCATACATTGCATTGAGCAAATTTATCTTCATGCTTAAAGAGAAGCTAAATAAACAATGAAAGAAAAAAACAAACAAACAAACAGGTGAAGAGCCAGAGATTGTTTTCATTAGGCATATGTAAAATTAATTTGGGAATAAAACAGTCTTTCCAAACAAAGGAACTGTCAGCAACTAAAATCAATTAAATAAAAAAATGGAGTATTTAAATCAAGAAGAATGAATATTGATAACAAATATTGCCTTCCTTTTACAATTTGTAATCCTAGGTTAACAATAATATAATCCAATTTAGGTGGAAATTCTATCCTATTCTTCCATCTGTATGATGGTTATTTAATGTTCCTACATTAAGTCCCATTTCTTGATAGTACCCATTTCCCCATACAAAAACCTCTGGTAGAGTAGATTAAACTTCATATAACGAATCACCTGCCACGATGGGATGAGATACCATCAGTACACTGATGATACTCAGTATCATTTATAACTTCATTCCTGGTGACCCAGAGATGCTGTCACCCAGAGATGCTGTCACTGCCCAGTCACAGCACCTGAAGGCTGTGGAGGTTTGGATGGGTGACAAAGGATTTGGCTGAACTGTGGTAAGACTTAGTGGCTTTGGGACCATGGAGCTTCAGGTTCTGGGATTTAATATCACTAATATATCCAGACAGAACTGTGGCATACCTTGGGGGTTCTCCTGAACTTGTATTAGGCATTCCTAATGGCAGTCATGGCTAGGAGAGCCTTTGCTCAACTTTTTGTTCTGTGCCAGTTAGACCCTTTCCTGAATCAGGAGTCCCTGTGCTCAGTCACTCAAGCCCTAGTCATCTCCTGCTTCGACTATTCCAAAAGTATTCAGAAGCTATAGCTGGTGCAAAATACAGCCACACAGACTATTTGGAGACACTGGATAGTTAATGTTTCACAAGCTGCACTGGTTGCAGGTTTACTTCTGGGTTCAAATCAATGTGTTGGTTCTTACCTTTAAATCCCTTCATGGCATGAGTCCAGGCTTTCTGATGAATTGTCTCATCCCATGGTATTGGTTCATTCTACCCACACCAGCATCCTGGGAACCCAATTGGTCAAGGAATTCTGGCTGTTGGGGTCCAGAAGAAGAATGTTTTCTGTTGTGGCTGCCATTCTCTGAAAACTGGTGCCATCTGAGATAGTATCTGTACCTGCACTTTTGGCCTTCTGAAAGGGCTTGAAGGTTCTGCCAACTGGTGTAGGGTCCTAATGAAGACTTGTCATTCTGGAGGTGGTTAATGGAGTAAGAAAAGACTCCACCTCTTCCCCATACACATTTTGTTCCCTTCCTTCCCATCTTGTCAATTCTAACACAATGTTAGTATTAATATTTATTGTGTAATGCTTTAATGGTTTATTTTCTGATTTTTCATAATTGTAAGCTACATAAATTTTCTTCTAGATGGGCAGAATATAAGTTTAATAATAAATATAATAACATTTGTGTAGATATATAAACACAGTGTTCCTATCTCATCTGAGATTCTTCTTTCTACTCTCTGTGATCATAGTTTAGCTCATTAATCACCACATTCTTTCTTTCTCTTCCCCTTACACATACACAGATATGTGCATGCATGCATGTAACTTCAAATGTATTATCATCACAATTCATCAAGGGGCCTTTTAGATGAGGCAAGTTGACTATGGAGATTTGTATGAGAGATAGCAAAATGGTTGCAATGATGAAATGCAATTTCATCACATCTTTCCCATTATGCCTAATTCTGAAGGAGAACTATTCAGATCAATTGGGTCTATTGGTTTCCTGTTGTGACAACTGCTTGTGGGACTTTCTAATGCTTCACTAGACACTGTGACAATTTTCAGACTGAGGTGGTTAGGCAAGTAAAGTAGTTGTTTTCAGCGTAATCCATCATCTTTCCTAAGTACAGGAAGATGGCTATCATGTAAAGAACTGGTTTGATTATCTCAAAATATTAATATTGCACTTAATGTACATAATTCTCACTGTGTGAATAAAGAAATTATTAAAGTATATGAACCACAAATTCATACACATTTTGTCTAGTTGCCACTTAAGATATATTAATTTATTAATAAAAATAATTAAATCTCATTGGTGAGATTTTTCTTACTAAATGAATGATATCATAAGGTGGCTTGACAAAATAAATATTTTAGCAATGTCAAATTTAGCAGAAATGTTTGAAAAACTGCAAGTATGTTTAATTACAATATATTATTGAATGAATATTTCTTCCCCCCTTATTTTTAATTTGTTAAACTCTCACATTTCTCTTAGGTATTATTGCTGTTGTGATCTTCACCATTCTCTGCACCCTGGTGTTCCTCATTCGATACATGTTCCGCCACAAGGGAACCTACCATACCAATGAAGCCAAGGGGGCAGAATCTGCTGAGAGTGCAGATGCCGCTATTATGAACAATGATCCCAATTTTACAGAAACCATTGATGAGAGCAAAAAAGAGTGGCTTATCTAAAATGAAATGGGAGGAGGAAACAGCAGGGGTTGGGGTGGGGTTGCAGAATATTTTTTTTCAACAAGCTCTCTAATGGATTCTTGAGCACTTCTAATTTTAAAAAGAAGAAGATCAGCACAACTCAAGGTGCAAGTGACAGACAAACATTGAGACTGCAAGCCCAAACAAATAGAAAAGAATATTGGTTTATCATGAATTGCCCTTTTTATACACATCTAATCCACGAAAATAATCCAAACAGTTCAGTAATTTAAGCAGTTCATCATTGCCAGTAAATACTGTTGTCTATCTGTGCTTAGAGGTGTTTAAAAATACTTATCACTACAGGGATCATTTTTCTTTTTTTTAAAACCCTTTTAGAATATTTCTCTCCAGACAATAAGATATCTGTTTCTGAAGCCTATGAGCATTCTTGTCTAGCCTTTTAGCATCATGTTCTAAAAAGGATGTGATAATAGTTGAAACATACATTGTCATTTGATTTGATTTGAAGATTAAAGGTATCAGACTGCAGGGTACTTTCAAATGGCTTTATAGTCACTTACCCTCTCTGGAAAATTCTCAGAATTCTCTGTAATTGTTTGAAAAAGCCAGGAATCCCAAGTGTATCTTCTTTTATTGGTGTAAACATGTCAGTCACTTTTCTTATCTGAAATCACGTACAAAATGTCCATAATCAGCATTGCTCCAATTTCTGAGAATGAGAATATTGGGGTTTCACAGAAAGCTTTTGTCCCACAGAATATTCAACATTGCTGAATTACAAATTTCACAGGAAATAGCACATTTCAGCGGCAGTCAATTTGTGGGGAGCGTTCACCGAATTATTCTCTTTATGAGAAACCATAACTATGAAACTATCTTAAAAATCTACTTATAATAAATGGCCCCTGAAAAAGCAAGAACTCGGGCTTTAAGACATGCCTGGATAAAATCAGATTTCTATGTTTTTAATAGGCCATTAATCTGTTAGCACTTTGAAATCTCCATCTGATTTGGGTATATAATAATATTGTGAAGTTGTTATCAATAATACAGACATGCTGTTGTTTTCATTCTTGTAGTCAAAAAGGCACACTTTAATGCACAAAAAACCTTATTAATTTTCTTGGTGAAACTCTGTTACAACTCTTCTGACCTGACACCACCATATGACATTTCTTCCACTTGTGACATAACTGTTTCATATATTTACATAGATACATACTAGGAAATTAGAACCAAACTTATATGTTCATTGAAAATGGTTCTCATAAATTCACATTATAGGCATATTGCTATTTAGCAAACAAATTTAATACACAAATATGATTTTTCTTCTTCTTTAAATCTTCATAAATCCTGGTTTGAAATAGATTTTTGAAAGAGTTTCCCTTTAGTGGAAAAGCAAAAATGAAAAGACTGAATAATCCTATCACCCAGAGCTCAGAATTATACATTCCAAAGCATTTTCTTATAAGCAGGTTTGCTGAATCTGTTATTCAGGGTTAAGAGTCACATTGCTGAATTAAAATGCACATATCTATGAAAGAGAAGGCTCTGGAATCAATTCACACAAGTCACATGCATCTATGTTTTAGCAGATATAGTTATGTGAAAAAGTTGACCCAGATCTAATATTGTGGCATGAGCTTTCTTATGAATTGAATGTACACTGGGCCATTTTGGATTATCAAATTATGACAAGGGAGATTATTTCCATACACCAAATGTTAATCCATTTCTAATTGGTTTAATCAGCAAAATGTAACTGTTGATACAGAATTGTAATTTTCCAAAAGCAAGTTCACTGAACTACAATTTTCTGGTTTCTTGGAGGAGTTTCATAGGGGTTAAATGGGTATGAATCTGATTCAATGTGGTGGGGTGTTTTTTTTTTATGTCCATTGTTGATCAAGAAGGTTCTTCGCTGAGACTTTTTGAAGTCTTTATCATATGTGAGGGGTTATTGCTTTGTTATATTAACTTTTTATCAAGTATTCCTCTTCAACAAAAGAAGATTAATGAAGTAATTGCAGTGTGTTATAATAACGATCAAATTGTAATGTCACCGCATCAATACAAAATACTTTCAAATATACAGTCACAGTAATAAAACTTCATACAAGACATACAGCATAAAAAGAAGAGGTTTAGGGCCAATGGTGATGATGATAATAGCAATGATGATATTTTTATTTTTTATTTATATCTTGCCTTTTATTATTTTTACAAATAATTCAAGGCAATGAACATATCCAGTGCATCTTCCTCCTTCCATTTTGCCAATCACAACAATAACCCCTGAGGTGACTTGGGCTGAAAGAGAATGACTGGCCCAAGTTCACTCAGCTGGTTTTCATAGTTAGGGCAGGACTTGAACTCACAGTCTCTTGCTTTCTAGCTTGGTGCCTTAACCCCTAAACCAAACTGGCTCCTAATTATACAGTCATAATTGCATAGTGAATACACCAGATGGAGATCAGTTTGCCTAGAACCCTTTATGGAGGAATAGCAACATCTGGAAGGCAATTTTCAGCAGCTGTAACAAAATTACCAAAAGTCAGCTTATGGTAATTGGTGTTCAACAGCAAACATTCACATGCCTGAACTAGAGTAAACATGCTAAATTCCACATTGCTGCTATTTCTAAATTCTTAGTCAATTTTAGTATGTTATAGTGAAGTGAAAGGAGAATTATTGTTCTGGTGATGTGTCCAACTTTTCCTATCTGTGGTTTAGTCTAATAAGTTTGTAGTCCTTGACTTACAATCACAACTGGACCCAACATTTTTGTTTCTAAGTGAAACATTTGTTAAGTGAATGTTGTCCCATTTTACGACCTTTTAAGCCACAGTTGTTAAGTGAATCACTGATGTTAAATTAATATCCCGGTTGTTAAGTGAAACTGGCTTCTTCATTGACTTTGCTTGTCAGAGAATCGCAAAATGTGATCACATGATCCTGGGACACAGCAAATGTCATAAATATGAACCAGATGCCAAACATCTGAATTTTTATCACATGACCATAAGGATTCTGCAAAGGTTGTAACTGTGAAAACTGGCCATAATTCACTTTTTTCACTGCCTTTGTAACTTTGAACTTCAAATGAAATGTTGTAAGTCAAGGACTACCTGTACATGTTTAGTTCCCGGAGAAGCAAGTATCCAAATTATGTAGTTAGATCCAACACATCTCTACCACCAAAATTTACAAATAGCATTAGCATATTCAGTTTTTCATTATTCACCATAGATGGTATTTCCATAGAGCTTCTAACTCTGAGGTAAAAGTTGTCCACAAATAAGTATTATAAATTGACTGTTGCATTTCTAAGTTATCAAAAAGCATTTTGATGAACATCAAGAACTAATAGAATGTTACACGTGGCATTGAAAAATCTAAAATGTAATGTTATATCTTGAAGTTCACTGAGTAACTTTGGGTTTAGGACAAAAAATTATAGCTGGTACCATATTACAATGTAACACTGGGTCGAAGAGATTCTAATGATGTCTCTGAGGGATGGCATCATTTCTGATATACTTGAGTTGCTATGTTTTGCCATTGCATATGGCTGATGCTGGTAGCTACAGAGAATTACCATCCACTGATATTCTTGCTTACTCACTGACACATTACCTCCTTTTACAATATGATGTTGTACAACCCACTTATATGATCAGTTAAGACACACATGTGTCTTCTGCACAAAGTTGCTTATTTGTCTTTAGAAATTCCAACTGCTTCTTGCATAGTTATAACACATTTAGGTGACTAATTTTGTTTTGTTTTGTTCAAGTAGGCACAGAGAATAGTAGATTGAAACAAATTGCTCCATTTCTATAAAGCTGTGAATAGGAACTGACCCAGCTCTCTGATGGCTTTTCTATTCCTCATTTTAATTCTGAATATCAAAAAGTACAGCTATAATTTTATAATTATAATTAGACATGTATGTGCCTGCTTCACATACTTGAAAGAGCACATCTATCTATGTCCCCAACATTACCAAACTGGACTAATTCACAATAATCCATTTTTATGTACATTTTTTAAAATTTACACTAACATTACAGAGTGAGAGAAAAAATTATATTTGTGATAGCAAAATATGTTTGATAACATCCATGTATCACCTATGAAAACCTGGTAAAAGCCAGGAATGATCACAGTGATATTCCCCTTTGAGATACAAGATGAGATATGATTCTCATCTCTTAAGTAATTTGGAGTAGAGTCGGGGCAACTGGATGGACCTGAGCGCTTACTGGCTGGATGCCCTTCCTGATGCTACGTGGAGTTTGCAGCAGATATTTTTTCCTTTGCGCCTGGGGAGAGAGAAATATCTGCCACTATCTAGAATTGAACCTCAACCCTTCCAAATGGGAGGCAATTAGCATCACCGCTAGGCCACTACGCCCCTGTGACCATAGTGATACCTATTAACACATATCTACTGAAGACACATGGCTGGACTACTGACTTCAGTGGAACAGGAACAAAAAAAGATTGAGTCAAAAAATAAATTAAGATACATGTCCATAGCACTGTGGGAGTTATTGCAATTAGAGCAATAAATGATTTCTGCAAATTATGTCTTTAAAAAAGTATGGACTGTCCCAGCCTCATCCTAGTAGTTAGTCATAGTAGTTTTCTTCCTCTACTTTTTACTTTTTATTTACTTTTTATTATAAACTGTTTTATGGCACTGGCTCACTATAAATATTGCTGGGAAACTAGTTCTGCATTAGAGATTAGGAGGATACAATTAGAAAAAATGAAATCACCTAGAATTAAATCTGTCAAGTTGATAAATAGGAAATGAATGTAATGAGGGCAACTGAAGCAAATATAACAGAGCAATGCACATTATAATTCTGTTTAAAGTATAGTAATTACTCCTAAACTTCCATCTACGCTTGTAATTTCGCATGTGTACATTTTGTGAATATTTTAGATTTTGGGCAAGGGGGAGGGGAAGGATTCCTAAATGACTGTTCTTTTGTAACATCACAAACCTCTGAGTTTCTTAAGGGAAGGAATGCCTTTTAAATCAGTTGTAACACTTCTACCTCCTCTTTGAAGAAAAAGAAAAGAGGGGGAAAAATAGGCAATTAGGCCTAAAAGGGGGGGGGAAAGGTACTAAGAGTGATAATCACATAGACAATGATTTGTTTCTCTGTAAAACTTGGTAAGATCAGGAATCAGAGATATATTTATAATGATGATTTTATGTAATCAATCACTTCTTTAAAATGACTATGGAAATGGGGGAGAAATGCACTCTACTATATTAACATCATGTCCTAACTTGGCAAAGTCACGATGTTCTGGCAAATGGGCTTTTATGGCCATTGATCTTTTCATATCAGGTGGTATGCATGTATCATGAGTGCCTGATGCTAAATCTCAGAACCCACTTTGCGTTCATCTTCTGAGAAGATGAGTACAGTCAGACACTATCTGTTCACTTGAAAGTTCAAGATTAACATGCTAATATGTCATTTATTGTCAAAAAAAAGTGAAAGACAGAATGAGAGGACTTTGGACAGCTGAATGAAGAAGAACACTAGGTGACAATGGGTAGGTCACTACAAAAATCACCCAGACCTGCTGGAGCACCAAATAAGATAATCCCTAGACACATATTCCAAACTCTCACAAATTGCAGATGGAATGTGAGCATAAATCGGGATTCATTTTATTTTTTGTAAATAGCATATCTAATATTCCTTCCTGCTCCTCTTTTCTCCTCAACAGCAACCCTTAGAGGTGGGTTGGGCTGAGAGAGAGTGACTGGTGCAAGATCACCCAGCCATCTTTCATGCCTAAGGCAGGAGTAGAACTCACAGTCTCCCTGTTTCTAGACTGCAGCTTTAATCATTAGATTAAACTGGTGTTTCATTTATTGAGAAATGAGAAAAAAGTTTTAGATGTTGAGTTTCTTCAAGTGTAAAACTTAGTGAAAAATGGTCAACTCCTGCTGAATGTTTTATGCAAAAAAAACAACAAAAAAAACAACAACCCAACTTTCCAGGAAAGGTAATAATGCATGCCAAACCACTTCACTTCATTCAAAAGTACACTGCAACTTTACTAGTTTTTTGGTAATGAAAATAATCAGGGCAAAGTGTTGGTAAAGAAGGAAGACTGCAAATATGCTGGCTTCCGTTTTATTGCTAAATGTATAGATATTTTTATGGAAATGTTTATAAGTGTCCTTTGCATTGTCCTGTTCTAGCTTCTTATTTTGCACAGTGACTAATCATAGTTATTTAGAAGTACAGAATAACTGCAATTGTAGACCAGAACATCAATTCTAGGCTACAAGGGAAATATTTCTTATGAGAAGGCAGGCTTGCTCACGCACCAGCAATTTGCATGTTCTGAATTTTTCTTTAATCTCAGCCTTTCCTTTTTTAAGTTAGTGCTTGCCCCTCAAACTCAGACTACCTTTCTGAGGAATCCAGAAATAAGATAAGCCCTATGTCTAGTGCAGAGGTAATGTCCAGTGGTGGGTTGCTACCATTTCGCCCTGGATGGGGTGAACCAGTAGCGGCGGGAGGCTCCACCCACCCGCCCGGATGCTTCTGCGCAGAAGCATCGCATGAGCACATGCCCACAAGTAAACCGGTAGCAACAGGTTTTGAAACCCGCCCCTGGTAATGCACATTCCAGGATTCAGGTATAGTAGATTCATTATAAAAGCCTTCTCAGGCATTCATTCTATACATATGCATAATAAAAGTGGTTCCTTTCAATAATGAACTAGGATTTTGTGAGGCTAAGGTGCTTTTAATCCTTGCTTAGTAACACTAAATATTTGTGTGGGATGGGTTAAAATGTACTCTATACTTGAAATAAGTATTTTTCTCAATGAGTTTTCATGCAGCAAAAGCTTTCCATTTCAGTAGCCTTTTTTTCCTGCCATCTTTTAGCCTTTTGCTTTTCTCTTTTGTCCAGTATTTACAGAACAATGGTGGGATTTTTAGAATTCTTGTCATCTGCTAGTTATAACATGGACTATATATTAATAAAACAATAATATGTTGAAGTAGATCTGGATCAGTTGTGCCTGGAGTCTCTTAATTCTGATGAATATAGAATGATAGGCACATTTAACACATTAGCTTACTTTTCCAAAAATGTTTGAGATTCAATTGTTTTTTCAATGATACTGCCATGAAGAACTGATACAGAATTTTTAAAAATTAACTCAAGATCTGACAGATTTTTCTTTAAAAATCCCACATTTTCAGCATTCTTCAATAAAAGATCTAATTGGTTTATTTCTTTTCTTTAAGGGAATAAATTCACATTTATGCCCTCTTTATCTATCAGAAAGTTTCTCTACCAGAAATGGAAACAGAATGTGGCCTCTTCATACAACTAGATTTAAGAATATTAGATATCTTGGATTCCTCCAGTTCTAGGCATGTCTTCCTATCAAATGTTTGTTCTGTTATTCTATAATAATCATGCCTACTTCAGTACAGAAGAATGATAAAAACTATCTCTTTTAGGGGAATGGTTTGTAAATTTACAAAGAGTGTAACTCTGTAAGGCCTTATCTTGGTATATGTAAAAAGTACATTAAAGGAGCCTTGTCAGATTGAGTATATTCTGTGGTGTTGTTTTATCTTTTCTTAAAAATTTTCTTAAAATTGCTTGCCATAATATTTTAAAGTTTCAATAAAAAATATATAATACAGGAAAAACAAAAGTTAAAGAATTAAGAAAAAGAAAGGGAGAAGTGCTAAAAGGAAAAAGTTATAATTTTCAACTTTTTTCAGTACCGTAAAAAAAAAAACAACCAAATACAACCTCAGAAAAATACACCCTGAATCTTTTCCTTTAGATTTCAAAATATTTCAAGCTATTTCTAAATTAACAAAATCATTCTGTCAAAACCTAGAATCAAAGTTTCATTTTTTTTCAGTATGAAGCAAAAAAAGTTCAAAAGCTGTTTCCAAATAGAAACAAAACTAGCTAAGTTCTTTTTAATTAGTTTTACCATCTCTGCTTTCTTGTGTCTTTAAAACAAATGGGATAACAACCAAAGAAGTATGTTAGAAGAAAGCCTCGTTTTGTATTTAATCCAGACTCTTAGGATGGCACACTTAACAGAAAAAAAACAACAAAAGTTTTAAAAATCCATTCAATCTAGAAGTATCCGAAGCATATTGAGGTACTCATTTCTATCTGGGACAACATGGGTATCCCACAAAGGAGTTTTTAAGATCCACAGATTACTATAATTTAAATAAACATTGAGTGTCTGTCTGCAAGTAAATAAGAACTATTGTGGGACTTGTGCCAAAAAAAATAACTGTGATGTCCTTTTTATACAGGATATCCACAGAGAAGAGCTAAAATATAGAGCATGCAGCTAGTAGCAGAGAGGCCCGACTGACAGTATGGCAGCATGGTCTTTGTGAAGCCTGGTATCCAGGTTTGGTCCACAACATCAGAAATAAATAACATAAAAGTAATAATTGTAGCGCTCAGCAACCGTATGGCCACTTCAGTATATAAACCACCACTAATTCAGATCAAGGGTGATGAATTTAATATGTTTAATAAGGATGAAGTAAAATTTATTACTGTAGACTTTAATAGTTACAGAAATATCTGGGGGTATCCGGATGATGACAGAAATGAGAAGGCTGTTATAAAGTGGGTGGATTTTAATAACCTGGCTATTTTACATGCAAAAAAATAACCAGCTTCATTTAACAGTGGAAGGGGGTGCAGGAGATATAACCCAGACTTGATATCTGTAGCCAATTACATAATCCAGCAATGTGTTAAAGTAGTTTGAATGAATCCAGTGAATGCAGGCCAGCAGTTAATTACTTCTATAACTGAAGCAGTGGTGGGTTTCAAAATTTTTTACTACCGATTCTGTGGGTGTGGCTTGGTGGGTGTGGCTTGGTGGGCATGGCAGGGGAAGGATACTGTAAAATCTCCATTCCCACCCCACTCCAAGGGAAGGTTACTCCACAATCCCCATTTCCTCCTGATCAGCTGGGACTTGGGAGGCAGAGAATAGATGGGAGTGGGACCAGTCAGAATTTTTACTACCAGTTCTCCGAACTACTCAAAATTTCCACTACCAGTTCTCTAGAACTGGTCAGAACCTGCTGAAACCCACCTCTGAACTGAAGCTAAGAAAAGCTAAGAGAGAAAGATGGATTAAAACAATAGAGGAACTGGACATGAGTACCAATAGCTACTCCCTCTAGAGTCCACTCCAACTCACACTAGAGATTATGCCAACATTGTCAGAAGCAATCAGCCCCGTTACCTTCCTGGGGTAATTGCCTGGATCATGGCATTTTCCTTGTGTATAGTTTTGAAAAATAAAACCGGAATACATCTTCTAATTAAACTCATATTTATTGTAAAGAAGAAAATAAAACATCTAACTGATCTAATTAGTTACATTTTGAAATAAAGTTCGTGCCAGCTGCTTCTCAGCAGCCGGACCTTTCTTGGCAAGAGAACAAAAGAAAGATGTGTGAAGGAATGTGGGTGGAGTACATGCGCAGTTTAGCTTACTGATAAGGATTCTTGGCAAGCTACGGAAAGTCTGACAGTCCAGAAATGAGAGCTCAGCTGGTAAATAAAAAAACGCAGTGACAAACATAACTGCAGGCCAAATAGCCAGTCAGCTTCTTAAGAACGACAACCCAGATAAGGCCACCAAACCAAAATATTAAAATTAACAGAAATGAGGAGCATAAATTGACTAATTTATTGTTCCCCCTTTGTATGGAAGAACTGAGAGAAGTTATAAGGAAGAGTAGGCTACAGAAAGCTGCTGGTTTAGATGACATCCTTATTGAACAGATAAAACAATTTGGACTGAAAGCTACTAGAAATGTTTAATGAATGCTTGGAACAATGTAAGATTTCTAGTGTCTAGCAAAAGGCTATTGTAGCAGTTTTAAAAAACAGGTAAAGAGGCCAATAACCCTAAGAATTGCCATCCAGTTTCTCTCTTGTGCCATACTATTTGAAAAAATGATATAAAATTGTCTCACTGTAGCTGTAGAACCCGTTCTCAAACTGCAGCAGGTTGGATTTCACCTTGAAAAAAATTGTGCCACCCAGATTCTGAATTTAACTCAGTATATTAAAGATGAATTCTAAAATATAACAGGAACTCATAGATCTCACAGCCACATATAATACCACCAACCTTAGAAGATTGAAGCAGAAAGTTTATGATATGAAGAAAGATTTTAAACTTACAAATATCAGATCTGCATGTTTTTTGTGGAGTTTCAGGGAAGGCAAGGTAGATGGAGGAACCAAAGGAACGGTTTACCACAGGGTAGTGTATTGGATTCAATTCTTTTTAATCTTTACATGAATGAACAGCTCCTTTCTGAAGGTAATAATAACTATATGTATGCCGATGATTGAACAATGGCTGCACAGGGCAAAATATTTGAGGAGATGGAACATTTAACTGAAGCCCTGGTAGAACTGGATCAATACTATTGTGATAACCAGTTAAGACCAAATCCAGCAAAAACTCAGGTATGTGCCATCCAATAAGCAGGAAAGAAATATTATTAAAATATTGCTACAGCCATAAAATATTTAGGGCTCTAGATAGGGCCTAACATAAACAGCATTGTACAAATGCTAAACTGAAGGTCAGTGGATGAAATATTCTCAGAAATTAATGAACTCTACCTGGGGTGCCAGATAGCTCTAGTACCCTGGATATTGACCTAGGGTGCAAAACCAAAAGTCCTTAAGACAGCAGCTTTGATTCATTATTACTCAGCAGGTGAATATGCTTGCCCAGTCTTGACTAAATCAGCATGCACGCTGGGAAAATAGATATTGCTCTGAATGAAGTTAGCAGAATTATTACTGAGCGCCTTAAAACGATCCCTCTAGTAAGATCTACCACCTAGCTGGCATTGCCACCTGTTGTTCGCAGAGAAGAAGCACAGAGACAAGCTTAAATGATCTAAATCTAGGCATCATCCCCTCTATGGCCTACAACCAGCTCGTCAGAGATTAAAATCTAGAAAACACTTCCTTTGATCGAAGGAACACTTTAAAAAATTTGAAAGCAAAATGGACCTATGGAAAGCAATAAAGAACCAACATTGGATGGAACCAATGGAGTAGTTGGCATCTGGGTCTGGCGAAAGCTGGAAAATATGGAAATCATTGAATAGACTGTGCATGGGTACAACAGATCCAGAGACACTCTGAATAAATGGAGCTATCTGGTGTCTTCTACCCTTTGTAATTGTTGTAACAAAACCAGACAACACATATTTATACCTGTTCCTTGTACCCTGATCAGTGTACATTTGAACACTCCACGGCAGTATGACAGAATGCAATTAATGTTGCTAGTTTCTGGACAATCTTTATTTAACTTCTACATGTTTTAATCTTGTATTTTATATTTTAAATTTTATGTTGTATAGTATGCCTTATTTTAATTGTGATGCTTCTGACACGAATAAACAAACTTAACAAAATTATTCTTAAAATCTGCATTCACTTTGGCTTTATCATACCAAACAAATCTCAAATCATGATTCTTCAATCTAATAGCTCTTTTTCTTCAAGGTCACCCTTTTCTTCATCCAAACCAAAAGCAAGTGTGAAAATATAAGTTTGTATCTGGTAGACCCAATTTTCTATTCTCTATTGCATCCTAAAACAATTTATATTTAATTCTTGGTTTTTTTATCATGTAAACTTAAAAATATATTTTTGCTATTGTTTAAATGGAACATCTGTGACCAATATGGGTAACATCTGGAATAAGAACATTTTAGGTAAAATATACATTTTAATTATATACGTTTTTCCAACAAAGATAGCTGAATCTTAATATGTCATTTTTAATGTCATTCCAGTCACATAATTGTCTTGAAATAACTAACAATGTGTATTAGTTAATGTACCTCCAAAATATTTAATCTTTTTCTCAACTTTAAAATCTGACTTTCTCATTTATGTTCTTAATTTTTGTTTTTCGTTTAACTTAAAACCAACCAGTGCATCAAAATTATTCAGTTTCTTCACTAAATATTCCAATTCATTGTTGGGTCTTATAAAATCAAAATTAATTAATTAATTATCAGCTATTCATTCAATTCTGAAAATCTGAGGTGTTCAGATCAGGAAAAGTTATTTTCAGTTCAGCAAGGATTAATGCCTTGATGCTGATGCAGGATGGCATAAAAAGGTTTCTTTTGCTGATTATTTTTCTGTATCTTTCAGATCCTCAGTTGAATTAGTAGACTGTTTTTATTCATTGTCCCTCTCAATCTCACTTGGCATCTTTAGTCAGTGTGGGCTGGTCCAAAATAAAAGTTAAATTAAAGGAGAATACAGGTCTGCCTTACTCCTCTTTTGATAGGGACTACAGTATATCAAGTTGTGCTGTTGGATATTTTGCTGCTCGAACAAAGATAACTTTTTTTTTCAGCAACAAGACTGTAAGTAGGAAATCAGGTCTTCTGCTTCTGAAATCACTTGAGAAATGAATTATTTATGCAAGGCTTTTACTATGTGCTCCACAGTAGTAAATCTATGGCTCTTCTTTTTTGTTTTTGCAACATTTAAGAATGTCAACAGAATGTACTTGTGATTTTGATTGTACTGCAGATTTCCTTGTTAGTGCTTTATTTCGTTAGCTGCTGCTCATAAAGATTAAGGAAATAAATGTTACTAGGTTAAAAAAAACCCAATCTTCTATGAGTCTTTTTTACTTACTATTCATAAATCCCAATGAAAAAAAAATCTGTTTCAACTGATTCTTAATCTTTAAAATTCTTTTATATCATTGTATATATTTGGATTAAGAATTTTCTAGCTTTTTTACAAGTCCACCATATGGGATAAAAATGACCCTTCATTTTTTCCACATTTCCAATGTAACGTCCCAAAAGTACTTTTTCAAAAGGCAACTGGACTTTGTTTTTCTTTGAAGAAGTTTCACTTCTCATCCAAGAAGTTTCTTCAGCTCTGACTGAATGGTGGGGAATAGAAGGATTTATATTCCTTGCAGACAGCTGGTCATTTGCATTCTTTTAGAGAGTCCTTGATGCTACTTGGAGGTTTGTCCTTAGGGTCACCTGAGTAGGGCAAATGGATGTGGGGCTTTCTTGGCATTGCTGAAAGGACCCCGCTGTAGGTACTTCCTACATAATGAATAGATCCAACAAAATTTATAGTTAACTACAAATGTTAAATGTAGTTAAAATTAATGTGCATAGAAAATATTCTATCAACTGTTTTTATCCATTACATTTAAAATTAACATACAGAAATACAGTATATTTTAAAATTCAAATGTGTTGAAAGCAGAATTCCAAACTAAGTCATCCTTTGAAACATTTCACTGCCAATTCCTACATTGCATTCTTTTCTGGTTTTATGTATGTATGTACGGTATGTATGTATGCATGTATGTATGGTGCTGCTGCCCATCTCGTCAGAGACCATTATTATGCTGTTTTACAATCAGAAATATAATATTGTAGCAGGCAATCCAACATCTACATGTATTATCTCTGCTTTATTGGAATTCCCTTATTTATTTAGGGGTAAGTTTTATAATTTGGTCAGCAAAGAAATTACTAGGCATGCATAGCACACCAGTTTGATTTTTGTTTTATTCAGTATTCTACATAATATTCTGCAATTTTTTCAGGTTTAAAAATTAGAAAATAACATTTATTTATTTATTTTTATTTAAATTGTATGACACCCAATATTCAACAACTTTCAGTGTCTCACAACATTCAAAACAAAGAAATTACAATAAAACCAAATAAAAAGAAAAAAAAATAGATGGCAAAAAGACAAAAGGAAGGAAATAGTGCAAGTCACAATCTCCCTCACCAAAGAACTTAATTAACATCCATGTCTTCAACATTCTTCCAGCCAACAAAAGTGTGGAGGTCATCTAGAATGGGCGTTGACTTACCTGAACGCTTCATCTGGTTGTTCTGGGTCCAGCGGTCAGGATGGGGAATCAGGCTCACTCTGATTTGATTGATTGAGTCTACTAACTGAGAAGCTCCTCCCCTTCGCCTTGCTTCCCAGCTTTATGATGAAAGACGATACAGTAGACTGACACGTAGAGCTGTCAGAGATAAAGGTAGACCGACCAGGCCAGCCGAATCGACGAGAATCCAAAAAGGGAGGGGCTGACCACTGGACCCAGAACAACCAGATGAAGCGTTCAGGTAAGTCAATGCCCAATCTCGTTGTTTCTGGGTCCAGTGGTCAGGATGGGGACATGCCCAAGCAAAGGCCCTAGAGGGAGGGACCCTGCCGAGGAGGAGAGGCTTGCCCCCTAAGGACCTGTTGCAGAACCCTACGGCCAAAAGCTGCGTCTGCCGACGCAAAACGGTCAAGCCGGTAATGTCTAATGAAAGGGGTGGGTGAAGCCCAGGCGGCGGCCCTACAGACCTCCTCAATGGATGCCTGAGTAGCCCAAGCCACCGACGTTGCAGCACTGTGAATGGAATGGGCTGTAATGCGGTGAGGAACAGGAAGAGACTGGGTCTTGTAAGCCTTGGCTATGGTAGCCCTGATCCAGCGCCCTAGGACGGGCAAGGACACCTTCCTGCCTAGAGAGGCTGGTTGGAAGGATACCAGAAGGGATTCTGACTGTCTTATGGTGGAGGTCCTCTTAAGATAAATAAGCAGGGCACGCCTGACATCTACGGTGTGCCAAACCCGTTCTGAGGGATGAGACGGGTTGGGACAGAAATCGGGCAGGATAATCTCCAAGGACCGGTGGAAGGGAGAGTTGACCTTAGGGAGAAAGGTAGGGTCTAATCTAAGCACTACCCTATCCGGGTGGAAGATACACAGGTCAGCCCGCATGGAAAGGGCCGCTAGTTCTGACACCTGTTTAGCTGAGGTAATGGCCAGAAGGAAGGTCATCTTGTAGGATAGGAAATGAAGTCCAACCTCTCTGAGCAGTTCGAATGGTGCCCTCGTAAGAGCGTCTAGGACCTTGGGGAGATCCCATGTAGGGTATCTATGAATGGGAGCAGGGCAGATGTTAGATGCTCCCCGGAGGAACTGTCTAATAAGGGGGCGACTGGAAAGAGAGACCCTGGGCCCACAACAAAGGATGGACGAAATGGCCGCTACTTGCCTGCGGAGTGTGTTAGGAGCCAGGCCAGCATCCAGGCGTTCCTGAAGGAATATCAGAACCTGTTCTGTGGAGGCCTTTGTGGAGGTAATGGAGTTCCTCTGGCACCAGGACGAGAAATTTCGCCATGTGGAGTCGTAAATACGGGTCGTCGAGGGTCGATGAGCCGCTTGGATGGTGGCGATGACCCTGGGAGGTAGCTTCCAGTCACTCAGCAGGCGCCGCTCAATCTCCAGGCGGTGAGTTGTAGCCACCCGGCATCTGGATGGAGGAGAGATCCCTGGCGCAGAATGAGTCTGTCCAGAGGAAGACGCCATGGATGGTGAATGGACAGAGCCCTCAGGTCCGCGAACCAGGGACGACGAGGCCAATGGGGAGCAATCAGGAGCAGTTCCGCCTTCTCCTGCAGCATCTTCTGGATGACCTTGGCTATCAGAGGAAGGGGCAGAAAGGTGTACAGGAGTCCGGGAGGCCAGCCGCTGTGTAGAGTATCGACGCCTTCCGCTTCTTGTTCCGGAAACCTGGAGAAGAATCTCCTCACCTGACGATTGTCCCGAGTGGCGAACAGGTCCACCACCGGAATCCCGAACAGCAACGTGATCTCTGTGAATAGATCCAGATCCAGGGCCCATTCCCCGGGATCCACGGTGACTCGGCTGAGCCAATCCACCTGGGTGTTCACTACTCCCGAAATGTGTAATGCTCTCAAGGACTTCAGATGAGCCTCGGCCCAGTTCCCCAGTCTCTCGGGCCTCCTCCATGAGATACTGAGACCGGGTCCCCCCCAGACGGTTCATGTGGGCCTTGGCGGCCACATTGTCAATCCTGACCAGAACATGTCTGTCCTGAACCTTGTGGGTGAACACTCTCAGGGCCAGATGGATGGCCCGAAGTTCTAACCAATTTATGTTGTGCGCCAGGTCAGACCTGGTCCAACGGCCCTGGGTGAAGGATGATGTCAGGTGGACTCCCCAGCCGTGAAGGCTGGCATCTGTGGCCAGGACCAGGTGGTGGGATTCCCTGAACTCCCTCCCCCGAAGAAGAGCCTCCGAATTCCACCATTGAAGGGACCTGAGAACCTTGGGAGGGAGACGGACAATCCGGAGGGAGGTCCCTAACTGTCGTTTCTGATAGGGAAGGAGGAACCACTGTAGCTGTCTGCAGTGGAGGTGGGCCCAGGGAACAATCCCGATACATGACACCATCTTCCCCAGGAGTTGAGACAGTGACGCTAGGGAAGAACCCTTCCCCGCCATCACTGACCTGACCAGAGATCGCAGGCTGGACAGGCAGTCCTGAGAGAGATAGACCCTGCTCTCCTTCAAATCTATGATGGCCCCCAGGTGCTGGATGCGGGTGGATGGCATCAGATGGCTTTTGGCCAGGTTGACTGAAAAACCGTGGCTCCTCAAAACCCAGAGGGTGGTGTCCAGGTCGTGGTGTGCTCTCTCCACCGAGGTGGACTGGATCAGAAGATCGTCTAGGTAGAACTGCATCCTTATGGGAAGCGTTCTGAGATGCGCCGCGAGCGCGGACATCAACTTTGTGAACACACGGGGGGCCGAGGAGAGGCCAAAGGGAAGTGCCCTGTACTGGTAATGGCTGTTGGCGAAACAAACCCTGAGGAAGTGGCGGTGGGAGGGGTGGATTGGGACATGCAAGTATGCTTCCGTTAGGTCAATGGAGGTCAGAAGGTCTCCGATCCTGATACCCTCCAAGATGGTCTGGAGAGATTGCATTTTGAACCGCCGGTATACGATCCGGCGGTTTAGGGATTTGAGGTCTAGAATTGCCCTCCAGCCCCCCGACGATTTCCGAATAACGAACAGGCGTGAATAGTAGCCTAGTCCACGCTGCTCCTGAGGCACCGGCTCGATGGCCCGAATTTCTAAGAGATGATGTACGGCTGATGCCACCAGAAGCCTGGATGCCCTGTCCCAAGAGAGAGGGCAACGCAGAAATCGGTCTGGGGGGGTAGAGAGGAACTCCAGCGAGAGACCATACCTGATAGTCTCTCTGACCCAAGCATCTGACGAGGTAGCCTCCCATCGGCTGGCGAAGGACGCCAGGCGGCCACCGATGGGAAGCCTGACCAAGCCGTCAGCGGGATCTGCAGAAACCCCGCCCCCGGCCCCCTCGAAAGGAACACCTGGACCCCGGGAGGACGAATGCCATTGGCGATCCTGAGATCGGGACTGGGTAGGTTGAAAGGGACGTTGTCTAGGGGAACCCGTGAAGCCTCCCTCCTGGCCGAAAGGATGAGTGGGATTGAAATTCCGACCTACGGGACAAATTCGGGAGGACACGGCATTTATCCTTGGATTCAACTAGCAGTGGTTCCAGAGCCTCTCCAAAAAGTTTAGTGCCCCCAAAGGAAGACGAAGCTAAGTGCCACTTAGATTTGGAGTCAGCCTGCCATTGGCGAAGCCAGAGCAATCGACGGGCAGCCCCGGAAGATCCTATGGCTTTGGCCGCAAAGCGGGATGAATTTAATGTGGCATCCGCTGAATATTCTAGGGCGACAATGACCTTACTAATGTCCTGTTGAGAACGCACATCTGAAATTGGGAGTCTAGCCTGAAGCTGATGCAACCAAAGAATGGAGGCCCTATTGAAAAAGGAAGCAGCCATGGCAGACTTAACTGACCAGGCCGTAGCCTGGTGGGATCTAACCAAGGAATTTTCTAGCTGCCTGTCCTCTGGGCGGAGGCTATCCTCTGGGGATCCGGCTATGTTGGAAGTGGAGGACAATTCCGCAATGGGCTGATCAACAGAAGGGACCTGTAATAGAGAAGTCAGTTCAGGTGCCAAATTATATAAGCGTCTATCCACTGCATTGGGACTGGGACCCGAGGCAGGAGAGGACCACTGACATTGAAGAACCTCTTTAAAAAGTCTAGGTCCTGGAATCTCCTCTGTCTCAACTGAAGGTTCCTCGAATAAGGGAACTGCTGAGGGAACTCCTTCCTTCGGATTGACCTCAGCTGGGCGAGAAATCCCCAAACCTGTAGTGATCTTGGCCTTGTGTAGGAGTGACCGAAACAACTGGGGTTTGAAAAGGCCAATAAATGCAGGCTGGTCAGGGGCTAAATCCTCATCCTCTGACATTTCCTGATCCAGAAGGTCAGCTCCAGTAAGGGAACCTTGGTCAGATTGACAGGATGAAGTGGCTCTGATCTGACCTGCACCCTGGGTGCCCCCAGCCTGAAGGATGTCCTGATCAGCAGAGGCTAAAGAACCCTCAACATCTACCTGAGAGCAGGCCTGCTCGGATACCCATGAAGAGGTTCTCTGGAGCAGTTCCTGTCTAACTCCCTCCCTAATAGCTTCCTGTATGTAGGAAGCCAATATGGGGGTGATAAGAGCCTCAGGGGCCGCAGGGGCCTGACCTGAGGAATTCTCAGGTTGATCAGGGACCCCTGAATCTCCAGAAAGTGCGGGCTTGGAATGAACCTCTGACTGAACCCCAAACAGAGAGGCATTGACCTCCGCTTGATCTTCAGCTAGGGGAGGATCTCCATCAGGAGACAAGGCTGGGACAGCGGCCTGGGATGTTGGGGAGATGGCTCTTGGTTGAGGGAAAACAAGATGTTGAGGACTAGGCAGGATATTTTCCTGTAAGGAGGCTGCCTTAGTGGCCTTCTGGATGGCCTTTTCAATAGCCTTATGAAGCTTCATTTCCTCTTTAGCCAAAGCTGCTGAGGATTGTGGGGCTTTAGAAGGGCCAGCAGAATGGTGGGATTTCTTGCTCCTTTTTGAAGGAATAGCGGCAGGTCCCCGAGCCTCTTCGCCCTGAAGGCGTTGTTTAGTAGCTCTGGAGGATCTCTGCGAGGCCATCCTGAAGCTAAGGAGCAAAAGGCAGTAATTAGCAAGGTTACCCATAAGAAACAACCTAATAAGGCAGGGGAGTTCCTAACTTGTGCCACAATAGGCTGAGGTCCCCTTAAAATGGCCGCCAAGAGAGAACCAAGCAGGCGACCAGCTCAGACTAGGCCTCTAATTGCCATGCGGTCATCCAAAATGGCCGCCGTATATTCACAATGGCGGCCTGCAAAAACGCACCTAAAAACACTTCTTATACCTGGAGGACAGCCGATTGCCGAACGGGGAGAAAACCAGCAGCCCTGGTCCACCCACGGAGTCCAGAAACAGTCCGGGAGCCGTTTGCACCGATCGGAAGCTTCACCACCAAAGTGGTTGCAACGAAAGCCTCCGGCGCCACTACTTCCTCGAGGGAGCTGCCGATCTCTCCAATGAAGAAATCTTCTGCGCAGGGAGATGTAAAAATGCGTAAACCATGGATAGGCTCTAATGGACTCCAACAGGAAAAAACCCCCAAGGGGTCTCCAAGCTCCGCAATTGCGAGCAGATTCGGGGGTTAGCCCTTCGCGCCTGGTGAGAGCCAGGCTCAACCTACTGGAAACCTCCAGCCCCCACCCAAGCCAGAATGGCCCTCAGTGGTCTTGGGTGCAAAGCCCTTCTCGCTGGAATGCTCACTAATACGATCTGGGAGTCAGTGGAGGAAGAAATTCGCAAGAAGGATCCTTTGCCAGGAGCTCAGCTCAAACGTGTCTTTCTCAATCGGATTGAGTCAGAAAGCTGGGAAGCAAGGCGGAGGGGCGGAGCTTCTCAGTTAGTAGACTCAATCAATCAAATCGGAGTGACCCTGATTCCCCATCCTGACCACTGGACCCAGAAACGACGAGATTTTAGAGGGAATTTTATTCCAGGAGCTGAGCACTGGTATAGAGAAGATGCACTTCTGAGGTTGCCATCAATGATACTGGTTAATCAACAGAAACCAGACTGAATCAACCCTGTGACCAGAGATATTATAAGAAACGGATACTCTATAAGGTAGCCAGGTCCTAAGCCATGTAGAGCTTTAAGCATTCCCTGCTCTGAATGACATTCTTTAGAAATAAACTTAAGAGGGTACACCAGGCTTGATTGCCAAAATCAGTTACAGACTTGATTATTGCCTATTTGTTATTTGTTCATCAGGAAACAAAGTGCAAGAAATAGCCCTTAACAAAACATTAATTTGAATCCACTGTCATTATCAGCCACTATTTTGTCATATAAAATCCCACAGTGGGGGCTTGGTATTCCTCTTCAGAACCAGGAAGAATTTGTTAAACATCTGTTGTATAAAATCACTATGAGTTTTCCCAGTTAGAACCATTGCAAGTTGCTAGTCCTTATAAGATGCCTAGGGATGTGTCTTGCCAAGTAATATGGGGGGTGATTTGACCTTGCTGGACCTAAGAAAGTGGACAGGGTTCTCTGCAGTGTCAATTCAACCATCTTCAATTAGATCCTTGTCCCTCCTGGCTGATGAAAGCCTCCAGGATGGTGACCAGCAGGTGGAAAAATGCAATGATAAATTCCTCACTTCAAGAAGGAACATGCCTAGGACTTTTTAAGGAGGCACTGGTTTATCCTCACTTGACTTCAGCTACCTGGACAATTTTATCCAGTCTTCCATCTCCCCTTTTGTGGGAAATTGGTAGGAAAGGTGGTTGCTCAGCAGCTCCAGGGGATCCTCAAATGAAAGATTTCCTGGATGTCTTTCAGTTAGAATTCATGGCAGCAAAAGCAGTCTTTTGTGGCTTCTAGGATAGCTTCAAGTTATTGGTCTGCTTCTGAGTGCAATTGAAGGTGTTTAAGTTCTTAGGTCCAGGCTCCCTGATGAATTATCTCATCCTGCTAGGACAAGCCAGTCCTATTCATGCAGGCAGAGAGGGCCTCTAGGGATCCCATCAAAGAACTCAAACTATCAGAATCCAGAAGAGCTGCTGTACTGCCCGTCCTTTAGAACAGCCTACCCTCTAGGGCAGGAGTGTCAAACTGCGGCCTGCGGCCCAGATGCATCACGAGCAGGCCACGCCTATCCCATTTCTGCGAAGGGGAAAATGTTGTGATACATCATGACAGCAATGTGACACCCCGAGTTTGACACCCGTACTCTAGGGGGTTCTAACAACTGCCCTTGTTCTTACCCTAGAACTGCCCCCACTCTTCCATAAGAGCCTAAAAACTTGACTCTACTATTGGCCAAGGGACCAAATGAGGGAGTCCATGCTGGAAGTGGCTGGTGGATTGATGGTAGACTCCACCTACGACCACGCTTTCTACTCTCCACCCATCCATCTTTTTGTCATCATGTATTCCCCCCTTTTTTTCATTGTTTATTTCATTGTTCCATTATTTTGCTTCTGTTTTGTTTATCCTCTTTTCTTCCTTTTTATTGTTGTAGGCCATCTAGAATAGCCCCATAGCAAGATAAGTAGCAAATGAATTTAACAAACAAAATCATCCCTGAAACACCATGATAAATCCAAATGTTCTTTGGAAAGTTTTATACATGTATGTATTATGCATATATCTGTCTGTCTGTCTATCTATCCATCTATGATACTGTTACACATGGTAAATATAGCTATAAATCAGTCCTACTTTGAGAAGTGTATCATGTGAGTCAAAGCAGGCAAAAGGATAGAAATATACTAAGGTTAATATTACTTAAATACTAGCAGAGCATAATGAACACATACATGAATTTATATGATTGATACAGGAATGCTTAAATACATTCAGATAAAGATTAAAAAATTATGTATGGTTTTAGAAAGGTTTTCAGCTGATGATTACAACAGAATATTGTGAAGTGTTTAAGGAAATTTTTATATTAGGTTTAACAATATAACACTGTCCCATTCTGGGCCCAAGGGGCAGTGGAGTGGCAGAGCTCATTAAGGCTGACCTGCCCAAACAGGCCAGCCCCACCTCCCAAGAGGAGGTGCACAGTGTGACAAGCACCTGTACTGCATGTGTGACAAGCCTCCATCCACATCCAGATTATTGCCCTGCCGCTGTCATTCTCTGGATGACTGCTTGGGATATCAACCAGCACACTCCATAAAAAGGCTGGCCTTCTGCCTGCAGCTTCCCCTACAGAAAAGGAAGGGAGTAAGCCTGACAAACACATTTCTAGGAGGCAAGGCAACAGAAGTCTGAGAGAGGTTGGGTGACAGAAAGATCCTAAGAAAAAACCTGTTCACCTTGCTTCTATTGGTACTTAAAGATGTACAGCGCTAAGTTGTGCCTAAAAGATAGCAGAAGAAAATAGTCTCGGCCCCCAAAGAAAGAGGCGATAGTCCCGAGCCAGCCTTAAGACCTTTTATAGGATATCTTCCCCTTCCTCCCAGCCCAGCCCAATTCTAAATTTATTTAGAATGATAAATCGTTACGAAGTACAAATCCCTTCCCAGCAATAAATGTAGAATTCACATTCAGCATCATCACATGCTCAATGTGGTTTCTCCATTCTTCCCCTTGTGCAGTATTGTGAACCCAGTTCCCAAACTTTGAAAGGAAACTCATTAAAAAAATGAGAATGGTAATTTGTGCAACTGGATGTGTGCGCTTCCTCCTCTTCTTCCCCCCCCTTCCCCTCTCCTCCTTTTCTTCTTTCATTTTCCCCATTTCTCTGGATTTATACAAATGGGGTGGAGGATGAGTTTGTTCCCGATTCAATGAGATTGCTGTGAAAGGACTAGTACTTTGTATGGGTATACAACTCTAAATAAATGTAGAATTCACATTCAGCACTCAGCATCCTCACATGCTCAGCGTGGTTTCTTCATCTTTCCCTTTGTGCAGTGTTGTGAACCCATCTCTCAAATTTTGAAATGAAACCTCTCAAACTGAAAATGGAGAATGGAGCATTCATTGAAATTATAAAAATATAATTTTTATATATTTATATAGGAGCAACCGTTTGTGCAACTGAGGAGTCACCTTCCTCCTCCTCCTCCCTCCCTCCCTGTCTCTTTCTCAGGTCAGCCTAATTCATGGGGTTGTTGTTTAGGAAATTACTGTTACCCCCTCCCTTCTTTGTAGGAGATGCTGCAGGCAGAGGGACAGCCCATTCATGAAGCACTCTATCTGATATCCCAAGCAGTCATCCCTAGAATGGCAGCAGCAGGGTCACAATCTGGATATGATAGAGACTCATTGCGGTGGATAATCTGGGTGCTCACCAGGGTGTACTTCCATCCTGGGAAGCAGGAAGGCTCCTGCTGGGATAAGCTAGTCCTAGTTATGAGCTCCACAAACCCACTGCATCTTGGATCTGGAATGGGACAATGTTTCTTCTGGTGAGGGGAAGTGTCTCTTTCCCTATCTGCTTGGTCTGATTGTCCCACAGCAATGATTCCCCTCATCACAAATTGTCCTTTTCCCCACATCCCATCAGCCGGCACATGAAGGGTTTCTTCTGGTGGGGTGCCAAGTTGTCCCCATGTCCAATTGGCTGTGGTGACTTGTTCTGTGCTTATTCGGCTGCATCCACTTGTCCACGCCCACCATTCATGCCAAGCTGGTTGCGCCGAGTCATCTGCACTGATCCAGCCATGCCACTCTCTGTTCAGACCCAGCACACAGCCCACCTGGCCACATTCACCCAGCAACAGTAAGTTGTCCCACATCCTATGGGAAGGAAAAGCACTGGTTAATGAAGCTACAATTTTTCCTACTGAACATTATGATAGAGATGAGTCTTATGTTATACTATAAATTGAGAGAAAAGATTGTCGGTGTTTACTTGATGCAGAACTTGCTCTTTGTTGACTGTGCATCCTAGGAAAGTTAATTTTGAATTGCAAGAACTGCAAGAATAATTGAAATAGGGAAAAATGAATTTGATGTTATTATTTATTTATTTATTGGTTCGATTTATATGCCGCCCCCGATGTTGATGAAACCTATGAATAAAGCACGCATTTCTTTTACCTGACAAGTCTGTAAGCAGAGAGACACCAACCACTATAAATCTTAGGTCTAAACTGCTCTTTATCATTCAATTTTTCTATTAACTTTACTATTTACATTTCCAATAAAGCCTTTTCAATTACCTCCTCTGTTTACAGATAATCCTGAATCATTTTGAGGTTACTCCTCTATTGATATTATATTTTTAAAACCTGCTGAATCCTACCTCAGAGATCCGAAGATTTAACTCTCCAATGTCACAAAATGGGGTCACAAAGCTTCACCAGCTAAGCTGCAGTCCAGTTTATTTAAATCATTTACTTGGATTATATTATATACCTGAACACAAAAGAACTTTTCACTGCAAGGGTGGATGCCATTTTTCAGTTGCTTCTACCTTCTATCAAACTCCAGGTGACACCCTTACAAGGAACTCTAGATATATGTAAGCTTTGGATAACAGCATTTGCCAGGCTGACTAAATATTTTCTGACTCTGACTAGTAAAAAGCAACCTATATCCCACTAGTTTTTAACTCTTGGTTCAAAAGGGTGCTCGAGAGCTTTGACTACTACTATTTTTCCTGTTCTAATATCAAGAATCATTCTTTTTAATTAATTTTTTTTTGTTCCTCATGAATAAATTTTGTTCCACTCTTCAAATGCCAAGCTTTAGCCACTTATGAAGTAGAGATTCCAGCTACTCCAAATGTGACACTGAAGCAGTGTACAACTATGAATCTTCAACTCTGTTTTCTGAGATTATAGAAGAAGTTGCCAAAATAACTGTTTGCAGACTATAAACCTGGTACTGAAACCTTGCTCAAATCTTACTAATAAGCCTCTACAAAATCCTGATTTTGCTGAACAGGTTGCTAAATAAGCTGCTCAATTACCTTTCAGTCTTTGTACCAGTATTTCAGGTTCCCGCTGCTATTGCCTATGAGAATTTTCTTATTAATGTTGAGACCACGACTTGCAATGTCACTACAATGCTTCTTAGATGGTTTTTAATTGACAACCTCATGTGCCTCATGTGTCAGCAACTACATGTGAAAGGACATCATGTTACTCAAATTATTATAGATTTGGCTTATTCCTATAAATGTGAAAATGTCCAGAACTTCTTCTAGGCCAAGAATGCACAAAGGGGGTTGTCACTGCCATTTCAGTGCATCCATGGTTGAGAGGAATGAACTAATTACCAAATAGTTCTATCCTTACAGAAGCAGAACAGAGGGCACTGCAAGGCAGTACAAGCTCTACATTCCTCTGAATAACTAAAACCTTCTTTTCCAGTAGCAAAAATGTGTGCTGCTTAAAAGCTCCAGCACAAGACTCTTGATCCAATTTAAAAGATCCTTCCAGATTTTTGCAAATTCAGTCCTTGTGGAAAGGAAAGGCTCCTTGATTCTTCACAGGCGGAGATTGTTAGACTCTTGGAACTTGCCTGATGGAACTTTTAAAAAAAATCTGGTTACTGAACTGATTACTTTTAAGGAACCATGACTTTTGCTTCTGTTGCAAAAATTTCAAGAAACTTACTTGGCATTATTATTATATTGTACTCACTATTGGATTTCAATGTTATCTTATGCAATTGTTTATTTGTATTTGCCTGCAACAACTTTTTAGTTTCTGCTCCACAACACACAGATCCTGTGTAGTTTCAAATGCTAACTACATACTTGCTAAATATAATAGTGGTTCAGCAAACTAAAAATAATTTTAGAACCAAATGAGGGAATTGTTATCTGGAAGTCTAGGCTTCATTAGTAACATTTTAAAAGATGATATTAGGACTTTTAACATGACAGTTTAGGTATTTTATTTTTAACTTCAGGAAATCATGTTTTTTTCTTCTTTGTCAAGGCCATTTCTTTTGGTATGTGAAAACTTACTGTTTCAGCACTAAACAACAGAGAACATCTTTGAATAAGCTTTCAAATTTTGAAATACAAACCCATCTGGGAAAGAGTAATGTAATATTTAAATTTGTCACTTTTGGGGAACGCTACCTAGAATCAATATTTTCTATTGTTCAAGTATCACATGTAATCAATGTCTTTTATTGTTTGATCACCTGTTTTCGGATGTATCACATATATCAAATGTACACATCGTTTATTTGTGTATCGTATAAAAAGTCTTGATACACTTAATAAATACTTTTTGCTTTGCCTGAATGATGATTGTAGTGGTTCATATTTTTATTGGACAAAGAAGCCCCTTTTTAAGGGTAAAAGTTTTCTCTCAAATTCAGGGATCAAATTCTTATCACCTATATGCCAAACTCGGAATTTGTAGACAACATGCATAATAAGAAACTTACAAACAGGTTTAGGGACAACAACTGAACCAACACCACTTGTGAATATTTGGTACCCAATCTTAATAATCCAACAACTGGTAATCCATAACCAATTTAAATTATTTTTAAAACTTTACATTTATTATAAGGCAAGAACAGAGCATGTTATGGTTGCCTGATCTTTATATTTTTCTAGCCCTCAAAGAACCATCTAAATGTTACTATTTTAAAGCAATATTATATAAAAACATACTAGTGCTATGTACTCCCTCCATGGGAACAATTCCTATAGGCATCTGTAATGTTTGCTTCAAAAGGTGTCTGAGGATGGTCCTTATTTTCTTAAAAATAAGAGATAATGCTTTACTGAGGAATTGAAGGTCTAGTGGCCGTTAGCATGTCATACAAGCCCTGGAATAGCCATATTGAGCTATCCCCAAAGAATTGCGTTTGGAAACTAATAATTAAAAATACTACCACAGTAGGCAATACTTACAAAGAAAATTGAAGAGTCACAGAAATAGTGTTTTGTTCTCCTATCTTCGCGATTTCGAACAGATTTTGGACAGGCTATGCTTAAAGCGGTGTGAGCGGGGCTGTTTGGGTTACCGTCTCAGCTTCAAGAAAGCTCTAATTAGATGATATGGGCCTTATTGTTTGAAATTGGGTGCCTTATTCCGCTTTAAACCGGTTTAATTATTGCTGGGAACACAGAGATAAATGGGCAAAACGAGTTTGAGCAACAAGATGAAATAGGTGCGCACATCTCTGGCGGTTCATCTGGAAAAGGGAATCTGTCCCATTAAAGGGCGAATTAACTGTTTCCTTTCTCTCCTGTTCACTTATGGCAACGGACGTAATCCGGAACAATTAACGATTGGCTGGAAGTGGGGAGGGGCGCATGGAAAATGTCTGAGGAGGGGCCGCCCTCGCGCCCCATTTAGGAGATAAAGCCGAGCCAACGAGGGCGGATGACGCTGGTTCTACGGCGGCGGAACCGGAAGAGGCGGGCTCGCGAGGGTGGGTAGACCAAGGTGCCGGGGCCTGTCTGGATGATTGTCTGACTGCGGGACGAGCGATGTGGGGGGTGAGCAGGGGCGAGAGGGGCGGGAAGCCTCTGCCCTGTCTGGGAAGGGAGGGGACGAAGACGGTCGCAGAGCCACAGGTTACGAGGAGCCATGAAAGTAGGACGGACGTAGCAGGCCCGGTCCCAGGTTGTGGCGCAGCGAGGCTGAACCGGGTCAAGTGAGGTTGAGCGTGCCGTCGGGCAGAGCGGTGGGGTGTTGTTTCGGGTTCCTCTGAACCGGCGGAGGGGGAAAAAGAAGGAGGGGAGCCTAAGGACCGCCTGGCTTTATCGCGCCGCGGCCGCCTCTCCTGCTCTTCCATTGTAGGCCCCTCACGAAGGCTGGCGGCGCAATGTGACGACGGCGTCGTCGTCGTCGTCGTCTTTTGCCGGCAGCCGGCAATTAGCCCCGCATCACCTTCGGCCCGTTTTTCTAGCGCATTACAAAGCTCCCAAGAGTCACGCAGCAGAGCGGCCTCTTCCTTTTCTTCCTCTGGGCCCTGACCTCAAACCCCCCCCCCTTTTTTTTTTTTTTTTTTTTTGCGCGCCGAATGCCTCCGCCGCGTTCCCTCCTTTGTTGCAACGTTTTTTCACTTCCACCTCGCTGAGATCTTGCTTGGTTACGACTCACCCGTTGAGCTTTCCCCAGCTTCTCAGTTGCCGTTGGCCTGGCGTGTTCCGCCTTCGAATGCGCGGCTGCCCTGCCCCTCCCGCAAATCTCATACGGTGGCCCTTTCCTCGGGGCTTGTGGGTGTGGGAGGAGATTCTTGCCTCATCCGTGTTCGGCAGGCCAGAGATTGGTGTTGAAGTGGGCAAATGCGTTGTTCAAGTGGGCAAAAACCTGAAGTTTGCTGCCAGTTGAGTTTATAGATATTTATACTAGTAAAATTTTTACAGCTTTAGTTTTTTTCAGCCCTTCAGGATTAAATAGAGGAGGACCCAAGAATGTAAATTCTTGTCTGGAAAGTAGGCAGGTGCTTTACCTCTGCACCAAATTTCTATTCCATTAGTGAAGCACTTTTAACAATTTATTCATCCCTTCATTGTACCTGTTTAACTTTTTAACTATTGACATACATATTGTCTTTTTTAAGTTTTCTATTTCACTCTTGGCCACCATAGTTTTTTTTTTCCCTTGAGTTGTTACACTATCTAATGACAAATAGCATTTTACTTTAGAGAAAAGTATGACAGTTATAGCTTTTAATTAAATTTCTAAGTAACAAAAGCTTTTTTAAGCAAACTGTTGTGAAAGCCTATCTTTTGAAGTGCAGTTGAATTTCATCATATGGAAATTATTGTTGGTACTCTTATTTGTCTAGGTAGCATAGAAAAGTAGCAAGGTAAATTAATGATTATGAATGTCATTTTAGTTATGTTATGTGAAACCTATAATCATTTCCTGCAGCTCTTGGAATGTGAGTGTGGATTGAGAAAATAATTTTCTCACAAAAATATATGCATCGTAGAATGTAATTTGCCTACTTGTGATTTGCAAATATAAAAATAAAATAAGCCATTGTAGTTTGCTGATTGGTTCTTAAATAAGGGAACTGCCTTATTAATTACTGTCTCTCAAGCTAATTCTATTGTCCCAGGTTTAAGTTTCAAAGATATGTCCATTCTAATCTATGTTAGTCTAAAATATGTTAATATATCAAATATATTAACTGGAGAAATAGCAAAATGTATTATTTAAAAGCTTGTTTCACTTCTAAAAACTAAAATGACTTGGTGCCCAGTGAAATAGTTACAATAAGTAGACAGATTTAACAATATAATTTATTATAGCAAGACTATTTAGCTATCTTGGGCTTCTATATTGATTTTGCTGTAAGTGTAGAATGTACTTTGGAAAAATCAGGATTCTCCAAAAGGAGAGAGAATTTATAAAAGTGTGTCTATGGTAAAGCAGAAGTTGTTGGACTTTGTGCTGCTGTGATTGATATGTGGAGACTTTTAACCCATGAATAAAATGACTTTTACTAAAGATAAAGTTGGGTAACGAATATGTTTATATAATTTTCATGTATGTATCACAAGGATTCTTACACTTGGGTGATCTGCATATTGAAAGGAGGAGCTGAATCCTAGAGTGAATTTTCCCTTTGTTTAAACTTTGATATCCAAGCCTGACCAAGGTGGGGTTTTTTAAATTTCCATTCCCACAAAGTTGCTTTCAACCCTAGTATGGGGGATGCCTTGAATCCACAGTTTGTGAGCCTCTGTGATTAAGAATTTGCTATTTTGGAGCACATCTGTCACAATACTTTAAACACTAAACAAATTAATCTAATTGTAAACTTGAGTATTATACGAAGCCTTAATTAACAAAAGCAGAGCCATCTATTTAGGGAAGGAATAATGTAAAAACTTATCCCTTGAAGTTCACTGTAGGTGAATTTTTTTTTTTACTAAAATAGTTTTCTAAGGGATGTGTGAGTAATATTGTTTATTTTTAACATGAGATTAATTAGACTAATTAAAAAGACTATGCTATTAAAACTCTTGGGTCCGTTTCATTGTTTCTGTATGCCAAAGAATTCTGGCTTCCTTAGGGTACTCGCAGGAGGTGAAATGGAGACGTGCCCCTTTCTTGACATTGTTTCTCTGCAAATAGTAAACTCGGAAATACATTGAGCTGTTAGGACTATTATTTCATGGTACTTGTCCTCCATAAATGTATCTAAACTTCCTTTAAAATATCAGAATTACTGATGATTGTCATATTTGTGGATTAATTATGCTTTCTGTTAGTGACTTTTCTAAATTTTATTGTCTTTTCTAAAATATTCTGGAATTTTTTAGTTCAGCTTCATGAAAAGATCACTATTCTTAATGTTATAACAGAATAAAGCATTTCTTCTCAACCACTTTCCCCTTTCCAGGCATGATTTTATACACTTCAGTCATTAGTTTTTTTTATAACCTACGTAGCCTCAAACCTTCAAGACTTTTTAAAAAAGTAAAATATTTCAACCTACTCATTTTAGTTGCCTGCTTCTGCATTTTTCTAGCTCTGTGATGTCTTTTTTTTTTAATTGGCAATCAGAACTGTGTATGGTATTTCTGATGAAGATGTACCATAGATCTGAATAAAGACAATACCGTATTGGAAGTTTTATTTTTAGTTGCATTACTAATGAACCCAAGATTGGAATTTGCTATTTTAACAATTGCTGGACAGCAAGTTAGTTTCTTCATTTATCTGTCCACTCTAACTCTTGAACTCTTTTCTGCTTTTTACAGAGAGCTGAGATCAATGCATATATGAAGTTAGCAGATATATATTATATATTTGCCCTATTTTCTAATTGATTGAATAGTCCCACATTTCACAAAGATTCTTTTGAAGCACTCACATTAGTTTTGCCTTTTATCATCTTGAGTAGTTTGGCAAAATTTACAAATTTAGCTGACTCATTGCCTCATTGATTTCAAGAGAGAACTTTTAGGAACTATACTATTTACTCTTATCTATTGAGGAGATTGCCCATTGCTTTGTGATCTTAACTTTTTCATTTTTAATCAGTTAACAATCTGTAAAAAGCCAAGTCATTTTATTCTATAGGTTTACTGAAGAATCTTTTGGTGAGAAATTTTATCAAAGGCCATTTGAAAATCCAGGTTATAAAATAGCATTTATATACTGCTTCATAGTGTTTACAGCACTCCCTAAGCAGTTTACAGAGTCAGCATATTGCCTCCAACAATCTGGGCCCTCATTTTACTGACATCGGAACGATGGAAGGCTGTCAACCTTGAGCTGGTCAAGATTGAACTCTTGGCAGTGGGCAGAATTAACCTGCAATACTGCATTCTAACACTGTGCCACCATGATTCAATGCCACTTTTACTTATATGCCACTCAAAAGTTGCTCAGTGCCACTTTCACTCATATGCCTATTAATACCTTAATTTTTAGAAATTTTACTGCTGTTAATATTCCCATATCATCTTGTACTTTTTTAAAAAATAGATGTCACATTGGCCATCTTACAATACTCTGGCATTAAGCCTTATTTGAAAAACAAAGCTAGATATGTATTTGTATGCAGTGTTTTTGTTAGGAAGTTTATAGTTTCATATTTATTTTAGAAATCTTTGGTGGATGCCAAAAATGTTGGTGACTTATTATTAATTGTAATAAACTAGTAATAAAATACCGGATTCTGCAGTGCTTCACATTTGAAGGAAAAAGGATAGGCAGAGTCATATATGTAGCTTCTGTCAGTAGCTTCTGAAATCAAACTTATCTTTTCCTAGGATTGTATTGTAGCTGCATAGGAAGTTAGCAAATTCAGAGAAAAGATGAGGCTGTTTTTAGAAGTTGGCAGTATATCCTCATGTCATACAGCTGCTCAGTAATTTCAAAGGAGAGAGTACACTTAAGGGAGAAATATAAAGTATTTAGTTTCTGTCTATTGTCGTTATATGCTTGAGCATCTCTTCCACTAATTTCTTATTGCCCAAACCTTCAGTGGCAAATTTTCTGCATTAAGTATTCATTGAAGAAATATAAAGCTTGTACTTGTTACTAGCACAATAATGATTGGCTGATGTTGGTTAAGTATTATAAGTTGGTACTAGGGAAATTGGTCCTCTGAATCTAATAATTATAATTTACATTGGTTGTGTTATACTGTCTGCTTTTTCCCCTGAATTTTTCCTTAGAATTGGCTTCTAATTTTCCATGTTGCTGAACACTAGAATTATATTGACCTTTTAGCTTGGTAGATTTATTCATAAATTGTGGAATATATTCCACTTGAACCTACAGTTAAATATGGCACTGTTCTGTTGGCAAATACTTACGAGCAGTGTAATAGCATTATGATTATAGATTCCAGTGATTTGCAGCATGAACTTGATTTATGATTTCTGGTTTTTTATTTTACAAGAAGTAAAATTTCTTAGATGTGTATGAAGTCATTCTCTGATAAAATTATATAGCTAGCAAGAAAGCACCAGAGTTACAGTCAGCAATGATAGGACAACTTGCAAGTAGCAGCAAACAAGATTTTTTAAAAAGGAATATGGATGTGAGATAATAAACTTGTCCCCAAAACACCACTTTTATATTAAAACATATGTGTTGTGTTTTAAATGCCAACCTATAATAAATCCTATAATACAATTTGCATTTATAAAGTCTATGTAAAATTTAAAAGAAAATATTACTGTCTGTTTTTCATTACTTAGATCTTGAATTCTTTTGAGGTAAACAACATGCACTGTATGGTTAAACCTGGCTATATGCATGGACCAGGTTTTGGCAGTAATTAATGAAGGTGACTTTGAACTATAGACAGTCCTCAATTTATAACAATTCATTCACAGCCATTCAAAATTATGACAGTGCAGACCAAAGGGACTTGAGGCCTGTGTTCAAAAGTTAAGGCCTTTGCATTGTCCATGGGATCAGGTGATGAAAATTTGGTGACTTGCCTTTTTTTTTTTTGCCCTTAACAATCAAACACAGAGGTGCTGTAACTCTTCTCATCCACTTCTCCTCTATGCCTAAAGTTCCAAGGAGCTCCAAAGGCTGGCATGAAGCAGCCACCCCCCAACCATTCCCACACAAAAGATCAAATATGGGAAATGGCAGCCCAATCACAGACAGAAAGCTGACAGGCCACAGCAATGGTGCAAACTCAATTCAGTTCAAAACCCAACTGGTATTCATTTACATGCCATGGAGTTTCAAT